GTGCTGGGACTAAAGGTGTGCGCCACCACCACCCGGCAGTTTGTTTATTATTATTATCATATTTCTTTATTTCATGGGGAAGCTTGCATGTGTCATGACACACGTGTGGGGGTCAAAGGACAACTTGTGGGAGTTGGTTCTCTCCTTCCACCACGTGAGTCCCGGAGACAGAACTCACGATCCATCTGAAGGAGAAGCAGTTTGCCCATCAGCCATCTCACCATCTGTGTCAATTCTTTTACATGAAATAAAATTCTAGCCAAAAATAAAGAAAAATCACATTTTCCTGTCTTACAAGCAATAACAAAAACAAGGCAATTGGTTTGTTTGTCTGCAACAGGGTCTCAGACGGTCCAAGCCAGTCTAGAACTTTCTATGCAGCAGCCAAGAGAGATCTCAAACCTCTGATTCTCCTGCCTCTACCTCCCAAGTGCTAGGAGTATAGGTGCGCATTACGGCACCTGAGTAATAATCTGTAGTGTAAAATGTTCATTTATCTTAGGTTTACCATTTTGAATATTCAGACTTGTTTTAATAAGTTTACCCAATTACTAAAACGTGTTACAATTATAGCATTTTCTGATTTCAATATAAAAATCATTTCATTTGTCATTTCAGGCCATATTTTTCATATCTGAAATATGAGTTGTTTTTCTTTGACTAAAGAATGAAATCAACAGGGCTGGAGAGATGGCTCAGCAGTTAAGAGCACTGGCTGCTTTCAAAAGATTGGAACTGGATTCTCAGCACCCACATCCGGAAGTTCACAACCACCTATAACTCCAGTCCCAGGACTCCATCGCCCTCTCCTGGCCTCTGCAGATACCTGCACACACACCAAAAAGATACACCTTTTTTAACAGGTTAGCAGCAATACAAATGATAATCGAAATGAACTTTTCATTGTTTTGGTTGGTTTTTTGTTTTTTGTTTTGTTTTGTTTTTGAGACAGGGTTTCTCTGCGTAGTCCTGGCTGTCCTGGAACTCACTCTGTAGACCAGGCTGGCCTCCAACTCACAGAGATCCTCCTGCCTCCGCCTCTGCCTCCCAAGTGCTGGGATCAAAGGTGTGGACCACCACTGCCTGGTTTCGAAATAAACTTCCAATAGTTCTACAGAAAAGGAATTTCTATGAAACTGCTTGGTTTTGTTCTTTCTCCTAAAGTATATGGCCAAAGTATGAATTACCTCCTAATCCAATACTCCAAGTAATCAAGTTAAAGGCTTTTGAACTATGACACACTAAGAATTAGTAGTACTTTATTAATTTTATTTTATTAATTCTTCTGCATCCAAATAAGTGTTAGACTAAAGATAATAATAAATTCTATATTGAAATGACTCTCCTGCTTCAAAGTTATTTATAGAAGCCTATTTAACAGGAGCTAGCAAAATGGCTAGATGGTATGCCTCCCTCTCCCCAAATAATAAACAAACAATGTAAAAAGGAAATTAATGAGGTAAATGCTATGCAAAAATGAACAAATAAGTAGAGAAAGGGAGACTCAGGGGTTGAGAGAGAATTTCAAATAGGATGGTAGGGGCTGGAGAAGCGGCTTAGCACATTTGTTCGGCCATGTTCAAGACCCTGGGCTCAATCTCTACATAGGCACCTGTATCTCAAGAGAGCCTTCAGCTGTCACACAGGACAGTGAGGGAGGCTTAGGCACTCCGATCTTATGCTTTATTGTTGGTATTTGATTTTGAAGACAAAAAAACCCCACAAAATTAAGATTTCAGTTTTAAGCTGTTAGAGGTCTGTGTGAAAATTTTGCCAGGCGGTGGTGGCACACGCCTTTAATCCCAGCACTTGGGACGCAGAGTCAGGCAGATCTCTGTGATTTTGAGGCCAGCCTGATCCACAAAGCTAGTTTTAGAACAGCCAGGGCTGCAGAGAGAAACCTTGCCTCAAAAATAAAAAAGAAAATTTAGAAGAAAAGAAAATAACAGTGACTATAACATCAGGTAGCTTTCCAATTGCTCCACTTCAGTCCCTAGTTCCTGATAATATTTCACGATCTCCTTCTCGAGAAGATAAGCTGCAGCAGACACAACCATCCAGGGCATGCAGAGACTTCCAGTATTCTGATTTACTTAAATTAAAGTGAAATTCTATAGTACTCTAAAACAAAACAACTAATTAGCCAGACAGGAGGTGCAGGCATGTAACCTGGGGGGGGGGGGATCACCTCGAGTTCAAGGCCAGCCTGGTCTACACAGCAAGCTCCAGGCTACAGAGTGAGACTATCTCAAAGATGGGGGAGGGGATTAAAAAATTTTCAAGACAATTAATTAATAATCCAATGTAATTTATATTAGGATAGTCACCATCTTCACTCTAAGTCTGCATGTGAACTTTATTCCATCTGTAATTATTCAAGATATATGGAGTATGAACAGCAATTTATCCCCTTCTGACTTGCACCATGAAACCATCTGGAATACGGAAGTGGAAGCGGGGGTCAGCAGCAGAGCATGGCCCAGCCTAGGCAAGGCCCTGGGCTCTGTCCCCAGCACCAACATCGCTGGGAGCACTCAGATGCTAATTGAAATAATGAGCCTACAGAAAGCGCCTCCACAAATTGCATATTTACATATAAAACTCATTTGTAACATTTCAAACTGAAATTGTTTTATTAGCATGTCATGGAATATTCATGAATGTGCAAGCTGGAAAAAAAAAAGAAACAACAAATGCAAAAGAAAAGCTGATGTTTAAATGTTTTTATTTTGAAGACTAAGAACCCCAATGGGCCATACGTGCACCAGGGAAAAGCTAGAGAAAGTAGATTACAAATGACTCAAAAACTCAACCCACTGGAAATTTCCCGTTCCTCTCTGCCAGTCTGCCATAATGAGGACAGTCAGGGGACACTGATACCTCAGTCCAACCAAAGTAATTAAAAGATGAACACAAATGTAGGTACAGGAACAAACTTAGAAATCATGGGTTCAAACAAGCAGTGTTACTGTCAACTGAACTACATATTCCTCCAACTGTTTCTAAAATACCCAACCCAAGCACTTTTCTTTTTTTTTTAATGTATGGGGTTTTTCCAAAACTGACTTTTTTCCCCTCTTGGATATATCAGCTTTCAAACCTCACTTCAAACTTGGCTGAATGAAACGTTTAAAAAACCAAACGCAGGCTAAGTAGCTGCTCGGTGCCAAGGAGGAGCTGACTTTGACAAGAATGGACAGAATGTTCTAAATGAAATAAAAGAAGTTTTCACAGTTTATCACCCTCTGTGTGGCACGCTGGAACAAAGGCTGCCTTGGCCTCTTCTGCCCTTTATTTTGTGAACACAACTTTCCTATGTCAGGCTAAGGAGAAAAAGCAACCTTTTTTTAAAGCTTGCAAAGTTATTATGTGACCATCTCATCCAGACTTCTATTAATTCTCCTTCCCCAAAGTTCTTCTGATTACCAAAATATACACTCGAAGAAAACAGATTAGAGCGCTCTAATAGACTATAGACCTAGAATCCTTTAAGAGCAGGGCAATGTTTACAATTCCAAGTTCCGTTCAAGAGCCTTTATCTGCAATGCGTAAGCTTTTTGGTGGCAAGCTCAGTCAATATCAGAAGGCTGGTAAAATGTTTAGTTGAAGTGGATGAATATTTAAAACAATCAGTTAGCAAAGAAATATTATTTGTCACCTACAATCCTAAGAATTAGCGGGGCTTCTAGTTTCTGTGGTGGTCATACAGCCTTGCACATCACCGTGAGTAAAGCTGCGGGAGATGAACACTTTGCTCACACCCGGTAGGTGAGAAGTGGTCACAAACACCTTCTCAATTTCGCCTTGGGTAAAAGGGTGGGAAGGAAGCAGAATTTTCGCCTCTGCTACTTCGGAAACCACGTTTCAAGGACTTAGAGAGGAGGCAGAAAGGGGCGAAGTCGTGGTGTCCACCTAGCCGCAGCTGAGAACCGGGATCTTGGGAAAGGGATGCGGAGGAGTGGATTCTTATGTAAGCACACACCAAAATCCATGCGTGCATTCCCCAGCTGATGCACATCTGAGCACCCAATACAGGACCACTGCATCCTACCCAGGGGCGCACACCCAGGCTGAGTGCACTCCTGGAAAGTGGGCTGACCCTCTCCGTGCGTCCCCTGATCTCCCCAGATGAGCACCTCCACCATCCTGGGGCTGCAACTGGGCTGCTCAAGACCCAGGTGCCCCGCCCGGAAAAAAATTGGCTTCCCCGAGGCAACTGCAGCGCGTGCCTAGGTTCTCCGGGGCTCAGTGCCCGGCTCTGCACGCCTGCACCTGAACCTCACGTAGCGAACCGGCTCGGTGCTCCGCACTCAGCCCGCAGCCCTGCGCCCAAGCAATCATTCCCACACTCCGGCCGGAATCCCGCGCCCCAGTAACACCACCTCACTCGGGACCGATCCCTGTGCGCTGACACCATTCCCGCACTGGGTCCTGCACCTGTGCCCCTGATACGATCTCCGCGCTGGGCCCCAAACCTTGCCGGATACGACTTGCGCATTCGGATCCGTACCTCGCCCAATACAACGCGTGCACTGGGTCCTGGCACAATTCCCACACTCGGACCCAAAGCCTGCAGTCCTAAACGACTCCTCTGCCCACCTCTTTGCACCCGGTTACTATTCTGGAACTCGGACCCAAACCTAGCTCAATACGATTCGCGCACTCGGATCCGAACCATGGGCCTTGGCATTATTCCTACATTTGGACCCGAACCTTGCTAATACAATGCGCGCACTAGGACCCGAACCCTGGGCTCTGGCACGATTCCCGCACTCGGCCCAGAACCCTGAGGCCCTGCACGACTTCAGGGCTGTCCACCTTGTCCACAACCCAGACGCTCCGCATGACTCCCGCACTCGGGCCCCCACCTTGAACCGGGGGCACGGTTCCCGCACCCGGCCCCGACCCGAACCCCGCGGCCCCGCATGACTCCCGCACTCGGCCCAACCTTGCACCCGGTTATGGTTCCCGCACCCGGCTCACCGCGCCCCGCCGCTTACCTCGCGCGGCCCAGACCCCGCCGCCGCTCAGCAGCCCGGCCAGCAGCAGCGGGACGGCCGGGGACAGCGCGGGCGCAGGGCGGCGCAGCATCGCTCGGGCTCGGGGCGCCGCGGCCGGCCCGACGCGGAAGCGGCAGGGAGGTGCGCGGGACGCTAAGAGGGGCGCAGACAGCCGGGGTCCCCGCGGCTGGGCGGCGCGGCGAGCACCGGGATGGGAGCAGCAGCCGCCGTGCTGCTGGGCCGCGCGCGCCTCCCCTAGTCGGCAGCGCTGCGCTGGAGGCGGCGGCGGCGGCTAAGATGGCGGCGGCGCTCTCTCTCGGGTCCGGCGAGGGTACCCGGCCGGGGGCGGGGTGGCGGCGGGCGGGCGGGGCGGGGAGGGAGGGAGGGAGGGAGGGAGGGAGAGCGCGCGCGCACGCTCCCCGCGCCGCGGGTGCACGAGCCCACGGGCTGAGCCCGCGGTGCGCGCCTGCGGGGACGCGCCGAGGAGGATTGGCCCGGGAGCAGCCCCGAGGGACCTGCAGGGACCCGCAGGACGCGCCCCCTGCCCGCGGCCGCCCCAGAGCATCCACTCCTCCTCCCCGCGCGCGCCTCTGGACGCTGCACCTGGAAGCTCCCCAAGGCTCCTGCGGAGTCGCGCCTCGGTTCTCGAACCTAAGGACTTGCCCCTCCACCCGCTAGGGCTGCAGATCCCAGGACCTCGGAGCTCACTTGGGCCGAGCAGTGTCTCCTCCAAGCACCTCAGTGACCTCCTCTGCCAAGTGGAGGTGATGAGTGGAGCTTGTGGGGTCGGGAAAGGTTTCAGGGACACAGCTCACCCTAGTGCGTTTGGTAAACAGACTAGGGTGGCTGTACTTGTTCTCCAGCTCCAGTCTGGGGGTTTGGAAAGGTACTGTCTCCAGGGAGTCCTGATTACTGAAGAAACCTTTTGTGGCTTATGGGCTTGTAGCGCGCTCTGTCCGATGTTAAGTATCCTTTAGGAATACAGAGGTCCAAAAGAAGGGCCCCTTCTGTGGGTCTCTATGGGGTTCTCTGGGGCCCACCCGTTTTCCTTGTGCCCTTATCTGCCTCCTGGAATCTGGACACACACACACACACACACACACACACACACACACACACACACACAAACACACACACGCTGCCCCACGCTAGAGGACAGGGTTGCGTGCTTTGGGAGACTTAATTGGTTCTATTTTACTGACAGGAAAGTGAAATGCCTTCTGTGGCTGAGAAGAGTCCGCCCTAGGCCCTCGAGGGCAGGGTGGCCTCATTAGTGAAACACCTACAACAAAAAGCTTAACAGCAACCAGTTATTTAACCAAAGCTGGAAGAGCCACCAACAATGTCAGGGGCCAGGTTTGGGGGAGAATGGGACATTGGTGGGTTGTTTGCGCCAGCTTGGGATGCGGCTGGAGGAAGGTGGGCAGTGATGAGGCTGGGTGGAATGGGTGGTCTCTGGAGAGAGGGGACTGTTTAGAGCAGTTTGGGCAAGAAGCCCATAAAGGTAGACTGAGGTGCCTGGACAGGACAGCATGGGGGGTTTGGACTTGATGATACAGGAAGACCTTCAACAGCTGTGGAGAGATGTGCCATGACCTGAGAGTGTGTCAAAGCAAACTGTAATGGAAACTCTCCTCTCTGTCCTGTGTTTCCCCACAAAGCCTGAAGATTCCATATTGGTAATGTCTGACACATTCCTGCAGCTGGATCCCTCCCAAGGTTCCTGCTGCCGGGGTACCCCCACCTCTAGACCACACCCCAGCACTCCTTCCAGCCAAAGACGTCATCCTCTGACCACGGCTGCAACTGCCAGTGGTGTTGTTGACTCGGGGAGACTTCCTGTTGCCACCTCAACTGCTCTAGGACATTCTGGGAAGACTTCCCACCTCTCAGCCTAGGCCCTACACAGCTATGACCATGCTGTCTGTCTGTCTGTCTTCACTCAAATGCCAGCATCCCCTGACCCAGCCGTCACTCCTGCCCTGGTGTGCCAGGGCTGCCTCCCTCAGGAAATCCTCCTAGCAGTGCCTGCCCGACCTGGTGTGGCCATATAGTCCCATGCATGATGGCTGCTGCCGCGTCAGTCACTATCCAACTGAGTCCTTTTCTTTCTCCCACTGCAACCTAGTGGGAAGGACCAAAAGAGAGAGTTCAGGCAGACAGGACTGGACTGGAATTCTGCTCTCACTCTACAAGTGGTTGTGAGCAAATCGCAAATCATGAAACTTTCCGAATCTTTTCCTCACCTGTGAAGTGCAATAGCAATACCCACATCTTTAGAGTCAGGAGATTTATTACAGATGGTGTAATCAAAGGGTCTCATGGGGGACTGGGGTTGTAGCTCAGTTAGCAGGGTGCTTGCCTAGCATTCCTGAGACCCTGGGTTCCATCTCCAGCACACTATAAACCATCTGGATGGCACATGCTTGTACTCTCAGTACTTATGAGGTGGAACCCGGAAGATCATAAATTTAGATCATCCTCAACTACATAGGGAATTTAGGCCAGCCTGGGCTACATGTGATCCTGTCTCAAACAAACCATAGCTGGAGAGATGGCTCAGTGGACAAAGCTGTAAAACCTCTTGCCACCAGGTCTGACGACTTGAGTTCACTCCCCAGGACCTGCATCCTAGAAGGAGAGAACCAATTCCTGCAAGCTGTCTTCTGACCTCCGGATATGTGTTGTGTCACACACACACACACACACACACACACACACACACACACACGAGCACGAGTGCACATACAAAATAATAAAATGTAAGTTAAATTTTTGTTTTTGGGGTTTTTTGCTGTTGTTTTTGTTTGGTTTGGTTTGGTTTTGAGACAGGGTTTTCCTGTGTAGCCCTGGCTGCCTTGGAACTCACTATGTAGACCAGGCTGACCTCAAATTCAAAGATCCGCCTGCCTCTGCCTCCCAAGTGCTGGAATTAAAGGCGTGTGCCTCCACCGCCCGGCTTTTTCTTAAACTGTTTTATTATTTTATGTACATGGGTGTTCTGCCTGCATACGTCTTTATTCACCATGTGGAGGTGCCCGAGGAGGCCAGAAGAAGGCACTGGATCCCAGGGAACTGGAATTACAGATGGTTGTGAGCAGTCATGTGGGCACTGGGAATCGAACCCAGGTCCTCTGCAAGAGCAGCCAGTGCTCTTAACCATCGATCCAGTCCCTAAAAAAAAATAACATGCTTCATAGAGCCTGGCATACAATGCATGCAAATAGATAGCATGCATTTTCCCTGGGGAGTCGAAGGCTTCTGAGCTCCTGGCACACTGCACATAGTAGGTACTCAGGTAAATATCCCAGTGGTGAATTGGATGAATTTCTGTGTCCACTTTATTATTATTCGCAGTGTTAGTATGGGACTCACCTTTCAGGTTTTTTTTTTTTTTTTAAGTACTCTGCAGTTTTCTTGGGGACCTTTGAGATTTGCAGAACATAAAATCAAGGTCTCATCTCAGAACTGGTTGGTGTCAACAGACCAATGCCAAAAGGGAAATTTCAATGTATTCAGTTCGATGAAACGCAGAAACAAAGATCTTCCCTGTCTGGAGCCCTGAGCCTGTTATCTCTCATCCTCACTGTCCCTTAGAGAAACAAAGAGGTAGATAGATGGAAAAGGCTGGCAGCAGGTGGTGTGGGCTGGCGAGGAGCTTGGGCAACCTGCCATGCTGAGACTGCCCGTAGGAGAGTCTGTATGCTGCAAAGGTCAATCTGAGCATCTTGGGAGCCAGTAAACTTGATTTCCGGTCTGCCTGACCAGAGCCTCAGCCATAATGGCACTTTTCAAAGGGACTGTTAGCTGTCAAAATGGCTCTGGAGCAGGGATAGATCTGGATTAGGACAGCAGAGAGAGTCTCAATGGAGTCTGGAGCTCTGGGAGGCACGGAGGAACAGTGGGAGGGAGCCATCTCCCAGGCCTGCCTTCTGGATCAAGAATAAGTAGGTGCTTTGTTAGTGGGTCAAGGAAGACTTGAACGCCATAATATGTGAGGCAGTGGGTGGAGAGGACCTAAGTCACCGAGTCCTGGGAAAATGGTCTTGATCACAAGAGCCCCTGCTCCAAGCTCTTACCTGCCAATGGCACTTACATCATGTCTCCACAATCCTTTCCAGAAGGTACTGTTATTGTTCCTGTTTCAGAGGAAGAAAATGTCAAATTTGCTTAAAGGTACATTGCTAGAGAGTAGGACTCCTGGGACTCAGTTTTGTGAGTGAGTCTAAAATAGCAGCCTATATATAAAGTACATACACACACACACACACACACACACACACACACACACACACACACACACACACACACACACCCTCCAGGATCCCACAGCTGGCTCCATTGCCTCAGAAGGTAACAGGTGGAGATGGCGTGGTGGTGTACACCTTTGATCCCAGCATTTGGGAAGCAGAAGCAGGTGGATCTCTGAGATCTCAGCCAGCCTGGTCTACAGAGAGAGTTCCAGGACAGCCAAGGCTAAACAGAGAAATCCTGTCTCAAAAAACCAAAACTAAACAAACAAACAAACAAACAAAAAAACCAAAACAACACTTTAAAACTAGAGGCAAGCAGATCTCTGAGTTCAAGGCCAGCCAGGTCTACATATCAAATTCTAGGTCAGCCATAGTTACATGGTAACACTGTGTCTCAAAAAATTGAAAGAAAGAAAGAAAGAGAGAGAGAGAGAAAGAGAGAGAGAGAGAGAGAGAGAGAGAGAGAGAGAGAGAGAGAGAAAGAGAAAGAGAGAAAGAGAAAGAAAGAGGGAAAGGAAAGGAAAAACAGGAGGAGGAGGGGGGCCCTTGCTGTAAAGTCCCCCCCCCCCACTGTAGACACACTGAAGGGCAGATCTCAGGGAGCCTGAGCTTCCTGGCTGGGGGTGTAAATGCTAAGTTCAGAGCTGCATCGAGGATGAAATGAGGTCACCTGCAAGAAGGCCCTTGGCCAGCAATGCAGAGCTGGCTCACAGGTAGGCACGTTATTACTGGTTTGCATGGTGTATGCTTAGCAAGTGTTTGCAGAAGGGAGTCAAGGGCAGTTATTATGGGCACTCACCTAACGATATGTCGGGGAAACAACCACTCAGGGGCTGCAACCGGAGGTTAAAAGAATCTCCATGCTGACTATAGCAGCCAAGAAGTCACCAGAACCCCCCTAGGACCTAGAGTACACAGGCTAGCCTGGTCTCTACCTTTGGGTAGCTTGACCAGGTCACTTTCTTGCTATTGAAAGATTTTTTTCCCCCCTTAACATAAGGTCTCTATATGTTTCTCATGTTGGCCTTGAACTTTCTTTCTGCAAGCTA